CGAAAGCTTAGCTTTGGGTGAGAAGAGATCAAAAATGGATACCGACTGTGACTACCAGACTGGGCCGGATTAAATATTTTCAGCTGACCAATCTAGTGGATCGAGAAGTAATTGTAAATCACGGATCCTTGTTAGGTTGGTGGACGACTATAGATATGGTACCCCGATCACTGGATATGTTTCGGTTGGATCGCGATGTTATAATGAGTGGCAGACTCTGGCCTATGAAGCAACCACAGATCGGAAGGAATAGTTCCCGAAAGAGCAGACAGGACCGTTGGTTGTTCACCCGTCTTATCCTACACCAGCTAAGATATTAACCCGCCCAAGAAAAGAAGAGATCGAGAAGGTCACGAGCACTGACGAGATTGCGCCGCAAACTTGCGAAGTAACGATCAAGGACGGTGAAACTCAAAGTCAAATCGATGACCAAGATCACTTGCATAGGGAAGATAATTGTTCAGCAGAAGTGCCTTTTGTGATCAATGCGGTCATAGTCGAGAACAGTGTGATTCCCGAAATTGAAGGAACTGATCAGGAACAAGATCGATCGGGTGAGGCGATCGAAGGTCTAAAGACGATTGCGATGAACAAGAAAGATCGAGTAATACCGGTTCAAGAACAGAAAACGTCGGAGAAGGCAACAAAGCCGCCACAGTTGTGATCGATGAAATACCAACAGAAGGTGCATCGCCAAAAGATTCAGTGTATATTCACGAAGGCGGTGAGCTGTTCGCTGAAGACGTGAATCAACACATGGCGATTTTACCAGTTACGCCTACAGTGGAGGTGCTATCGAGGATATTCAAGAAGGCGATCCTGGAATACCGCTGACGGAAGATCAAGAGAGGTTACGACAATTGATCTGGAAGAATCGCCACTTGCTCATCGGGAAAGGCAATGCCCTACCCACCGCGGCGCGTGGAGCTGTTTGTGATATCGATGTTGGAGGAGCGAACCCGATCGCGCAAAGAGTAAGGCCGGTGGCACCCAAGTTTCAAGAAAAATTAGCAATCTGATCAAGGGGTTATTATCTGCCAAGATCATTCGACCATCGACATCGCCATGGGCTTCGCCAATCGTGGTGATTTTTAAGAAAAACGGCGAAGACATCCGATTATGTATCGATTATCGTAGGGTGAACCAGTTGACCCGATTGATGGTATATCCTATGCCACTAATCAGTGAATTTCTGCAAGACATGGATAAAGCTATGTGGTACTGCTCTCTGGATACGGCGAGTGGATTTTGGGTGGTTGAGATGACAAAACGAGCAAGGGAGATTTCTGCATATATCACACCATCTGGATTATATGAATGGTTGCGTATGCCTTTTGGCTTAAAGAATGCTCCTCAGATTTACCAACGATTGATTGACAATGCCTTATATGGGTTTTGAAAATTGGTACAAACCCTGATTCGATCACTACTGAATCATCAAGGCCGATTGATGTATTCACCGACGGTGAACCGTATACCGATCCAAGACCATCAGTGATAGGTCGGCGGTCGTATATCGATGATATATTGATACCTGCCACATTGTGGAACACTCTGTATCACAAAGTGGAACGATTGTTGGATGCATGCAATAGGTGGAATTTATCGATCAGTGTGGCCAAAAGTTTCTGGGGACGTCGTAAAGTGGATTACCTGGGTCATCAGGTCTCGCTCGCAGGTTTGGAAGCTCATCCAAAAGATTTGGGATCGCTTGTAAATATTCCATTCCCTCAAAATTTGCGATCGATGCAATCATTTTTTGAGAAGTCAAAATTACTACAGTCGGTTTATTGAAGACTTTGCGATTTATGCATCGGTGCTGTATGAGCTACGGGAAGCAGATTTTCATGAGATCAGACGTGCTAGTGACGCTCAGATGTCCAGTATTGATGTTAGACCGAAGTGCGATCCACTTTTAAAAGTTGGGGACGATCACGATCTGGATATTAGTACCGGGGACGATCAGGATACCGAGGGCAGGAATCGATGGGAGAATGCCATAATCGCATTTACCTTGTTGAAAGCTAAAATAGCTGCAACGCCGATTTTGAAACATTTTAATCCGGACCGACCGCCTGTAATAGTGGTACATGCCAGCAAATGGGCGATATCGGCTGCATTACTACAAGAACATGACGGAATATATAGGCCTGTTACTTTCTCTAGTCGTTCGTTGAAGCCAAACGAAGTCAACTACGGAATGGTGGAGAAAGAGGTCTTAGCCCTCCTTCGGATACTGGATATTTGCTACACAATGCTCGTGCCACGTGACATCACTGTACTTACGCGATATTCAACTCTAACTTGGCTGCTACAATCTTCTAGTCTCAACGGAAGATTAGGAAGATGTGCTGCACTCCTTTCAAACTGGACACTGGAAATCCGCCGAAGTGAGAAGGGCGAGGACGAAATATTGGGTACATTGGCTGCGAGTATAATCCCCCCCGTGAGGAAGCAAACGAAGTGTTGATTGCGATCGCTCCACATAAGCAGCCAAGGCAGACGATAAGTATGCCGCCACCTACGGTGGAGGAAAGTGAAAGTCTTTTGGTCGTCAGTTTCGATGGATCGGCCAGGGTAAAGAAGAAAGGCGGAGCATACAGTGCAATCGTATGGAAATTTCCGGAATGGACGATCGTAGCTGTCGCTTCTGAATTCGCTACCGGTCTGACCGTGAATGAAGCAGAATAGAGAGGGTTACTCCTCAGCTTCGACTTATTAGTGGACCAGACTAGGGGACGCGTTATTATTTGCGGCGATTCCAATCTAGTGATCCGACAGATGCGGGGCGAAATTAATTGTAAGGCTCCTGGTTTGCAGTTGTTACGACATAAAGCAATGGAGAAGCTTCGATCGTGGCCGATCCACGAGTTCTTACATATGAAACGAGATTGGAATCAAAGTGCAGATCGATTGGCGAGCACAGCGTTGCAACAAGAAGAGGGTACGATAATTACGTCGGATCAAGACTTGCAAGAGTTGATGCTAGAGAACCGGTTGAATGAAGTGTTGACGCCAAAATGTGTTCATCGGGTCGTAAAAATGGCCGCGATTACCAGATCAGCATATTTGGTGTAGTGATGCTTTAGAATGGTAATATTGTTTTTAAAAATATTCAAGCCAACAGTAAAATTTAATGTTTTTTGTAAATTAAAATTAACTTTATCTATATATCTTTTTTATAATGAAATTTATGTTTTGAGTAATATTTATATTATTTAAATTAATTTTATGATACATTATTTTATAAAAAACTATTCTTTAAGATATTTTAAATAAATATTAAAAAATTGATTAATAATATGTTATTACAAGCTTCTAAATTTTTAGGAGCAGGATTAGGCAACAACCGGAATCCATGCAGGAAGAAATTGTACAGCAAACTCAGATTGAGCGAATAAAACAAGCACAAGAAGAGGAAAGTTGGATCGCTAAGTTGAAAGAGTATCCAATCGGGGACGTAACCCGTTTGGATGAGGCGAGAACCGTTATAGTGAAAAAGATCCTGGTATTTCGTATACGCCGCTTAAAGCTCTATCTTTAAGAATGCGAGAGGCTACCAGCTCAGACGTCACGGGCAATCATTACGACCGTGATGTTGCATCTGAGAGCACGGACGCTTATTCGCAACCTCGAGGAGAATGTCGCTTTTATAACAAACCATTAAGAAGCACTCTGTTAATACCACTGTGTATTATTCCACTTAACGTAGCTGACGCAGCCACGTAAAACATCAAAATATGCAGGCTGCTTGACAGGAAGATTAACAGACGAAAAACGATGAGCTTTTCCTGCTACCTCTTTAGGCATTGTCGCTTTTTTGTTTATATGCTGAAAGTCGGAGATTACCAACAAAATAGTGCGATGAAGTAGGCAGCAGGATTTCATCGGCGACAATACCATGTTTATTCTCGACGTAGTAGCCCACAAATACTTGGCAAACTTCTCTCGCTGCTACAGCTTCGGCTTTTGGAAACAGGCGAAGCGCTTTGCAAGATTCACGATCTGGACAAACTGCGATGTAAATTGGTGGCTCGGTAGCTACAGCATTCTTCACATCGTCTGGGTAAAAAATCTTGTTCATCTCTTTCAGCTGATTGCTGTCAATGCTATGCTGTCCCGCAACAGTAAATTAAAGATACGCTACATTGCCCTTCTTGTTGGATGTAGACTTAAGCTTCACAATGCTGTTAATATATTCGAAAATCTGTCACACGCAGGAAACCAGTACGAGCACTTTTCATCATCTCTCCATTCGGTCAGATGGATCACATAATCGCTTGCCGTTCCAGAGCAGGTCGCACTTTTTTTTCAAACGCACCTGTCCCGCTTTATGATGACGCGGTGCGATTTGTTCTTCCGCGGGTGGTTTACTTTCATTTGGTGAAACATATTCGAAAATATAGAGATCCAATTGGTTGTCGGCAGCCAGGCGATGTAGAAGAATCTCAAAAACGGCTCCAGTAAGTGAATTGTTCCCAGTGTTTTTCGCCCACGTATATATTCGAGATAGTGCATCCGATCGGAGTCTCAATGAGAGACAACGCGCAGCATATTCCGAGTCGATAACTTGTTCCCAACACGACCTGAAGATAAACGGTTTTCACCACTCCTTCGAATAAAGAGGAGATATACCACGTCGGTTTTTCACGAAAGTATGGCGCAAGCGATCGACTTGCGATCCCCCCGTCGAAATGCTAGACTTGTTGTTTAGCAAGTTCGAGACATAGTTTACACTGCTGATCGCATTATCAATTGCCTCGATTATGTCAGTGCATGTAGACAGTGTAAACTCGCACATTCCCAGAATAGTAGAAACGTTCAATCATGTCCTTACGGTGAAACTTATAAAAAAGTTTACCCACCGAAAAGAGATCCGTTCGTGACCAGCAAGGAAATAGACAGCAGTACGCATCAGTTCGCTCTCCAGAATTCAGATCCACTTGCTGCGACGGTGCCAGCATCTTATCTGTCTGCACACCAGCCGGAATATCTTGGTACTACAATCCATCCAGCAACAGCCATACGTTCAATTTGCCTTGTTGACGGACAAGCTCTTTATATATGTTAATCGCAGTCCGGTCTTCGCATTCCTCCACTGTAAACTGCACGACCCTGCCATCTTCGTAACCCAGATAAACAGACAGTTCTCGTGATCATATTTGCTAAGTCGTCGGTATACCAGCACATCTTTTTGTGCTTGAAAACGAGAAGGAAAGCCATCACGCACAACAGCGTCGACTTGCCAATACCCGGCGAGACTACCATGATACTCTTCTTTTTTGACAGCGGAGATGACTCTCGAAACCATCCATCCAATAGCAGCGATACAATTTTGTCATCTCTCCTTCGCCAAAACATTTTTCCTGTTTGGGTGCATCCACCCAAGCTGCTCATATATTTCGAGATCAATGGAATCTCGTGCACAGCTTGACCTCCTAATCGTCCAGTGAGATGCACTCTTCAGCGTATTTTTCGGGCTCGTTTAACGCAGTAGTTGTGGAAAGTAGCACGTTCGTTGTAAGCGAAGCAGCATACATGATCGATTCAAGTAGCTTGATCAGTACGTGGATGTAGCCACGCGGTGGGAGAGTTTTTTTTAACAAAAATAACCTCAAGGAAGTGATCTGCCTGCAGCTCATTTTCTTCCGCCGTGAGTGCTTCAATATAAGCAGTTTTCTCACCCTTCTTCTGCTTCTTCACGATTTTCAAGCCAGACGAGAGCCACTCGCCGTCCGTTTCCTTTGCCAATAAAAGACGCAGTTGGTCCGCATCAACGTTCTTTAAGGCGCTCGCATTCTTTGCCGTGATTGCGTCTTTTAGGTCCCCCACACACACACTCTTAGTCGTATCAATGTTGACAGGAAACGCACTTCCCTTCACACCAACGATGACGCAAAACAGCTTTACCATTACCAGACGATTCTCGAATGAAGGAAGAGCGGGAATTTCTGTTTGCAAATGAATAAGATTGATTTTATATGACTATACTATGGTCAAGATAAAAAAACCATCGTTCCTTTCTGATGAGCTGACTAGACCCAGTAAAACTTACCTTAAGTAATACTGCATTAATTAATAACTTGTCTTGTGGACTAAAGTTCAAGTCAAAGATTTTCGATTTCCTTTTAACTAGCCCCGATCCTTTTACTACCGATGAACAGAAAACGACAACATCATCTAGAAGTTCGACTGGAACGTCATGTGATGAGCTGATGCGCCAGGATGTGACTGAAAGGGACGAGAAAGAAACATTTGTCGTTCTGCGCGAGTAAAAATCTAGCACGACCAACGCATCACCCTCGGACGACGTCCGCGTTGTCGTCCACGTGGGGCGTCCCGGCTCAGCACGGTGACATACCGAAGTATGTCGAAGCGTCGAAGGAGCCTCACCTCGAGATCTTACAGCACATCCCGAGCGGCGTGGAAGTACCAGCGGCGCGCATGCGCGAGCTCGGCGTCACGAGCACAAAGGACCTGGCTTTAGAGCTACGCAGAAGTCTTCATGGTTTCAAACGGGCCGGCCTACTATGGAGTCAGCTGATGCAGGAGCGATTTGTCGAAGGCGGGTACACGCAGTGAATCAGCGACAGCTGCTTATACTACAGGCGATTGGACGCAGAGCTTGTGATTGAAGGAGTCTACGTCGTCGACATACTTGTCACTTGAACGCCTACGGTAGTCGTAAAGCAGTTTTTCGACGTGATGCAGTGCCTATCGATCAAAATCCTCGGTCCAGTTGCGAAGTTCCTCGGGATACGTGTGAACAAGGGGACAAGTGGGAGTTACGATTTGGACCAAGAGGAGGCCATCGTCGAGTTGCTGCGAGATCATGAATTAAGTGACGCGAATACCACGCGTTCGCCAATTGAAGCAGACTTGTACGAGGTGCAAGATGCTGACAGCGAACTACTCGACAATAACGACGCATGCAAGCACGCGACGATCGGGTCGTTCCAGTCTCTAGTCGGCTCGCTACTATGGAGCACACGATGCACGCGACCGGACGTGTCGTTTGCAGTACACAAAGCAACACTACAGACGCACCGACCGCGTGTGCGTGACTGGATAATCGCCAAGCGGATCGCACGATACTTGAAGGGGACGATCGCAATGAAGATCGAAATGGTGCCAGAGCGCGACACGGGCAACGCACCGACGCTCTAGTCGTTCAGTGATGCAGACTTTGCAGCAGACAAACAGGATCGCAAGTCTATCACCAGCGGCGTTGTGCGACTCAACGGTATGGCTGTGATCTGGTGCGCGAAGAAGCAAGGTGGCGTCACACTCAGCACCATATTAGCTGAATTCGTGGCTCGCACGGGAGCTGCTAGGAATTCGTGAAATGCTGCGTGAGATCGGCATGGAGCCAGAACCACCAATGACGATGCGCATCGACAATCAGGCCGCCATTTGTCATATCAACGGCGAAGAGACATCAACTAAAGCGAAACACATCGACGTCATTGAAGTTTCTCTGTGACTACGCTCATCGCAGCGTGATCGAGGCTCAGAACGTGCGCTCATAACTCATGCTGGCAGAATTGCTCACCAAGGTAGTCGATCTGCCCAAGATGGCAACGCTACGAGGCTGCTATGTGTCGGCTAGTACACCAAGAGGGGAGACACAGGTGCCCGAGGAGGAGTGTTAAAAGAAGTCGCTCTGTGTGAATGCATGATCGCAAGAGTTGCATTAAAGATGCGAAAGGTCAGTATCGGGCACACTGTGTTCCAGTATGCAGCGAGAAGAGAGAAGCAGACGGCGTACGGCAGCAGTCGCGATGGCGTGTGCGACGCCGTGAGCAGTCGTGATGGCGTGGTGTGAGCAGTCGCGACGTGTGGAACGATCGCGTGCCTGTTGGATCGCATGGTGCGAGCGCAGTGAGAACGTTGCATGAGTGAAAGTGAAGAGCTAGCGAGCGAGAGAGAGACAGATAGCGAGCGCGGAGAGCTGTGTAATGAATACTAGGATCCAATTTGCCTTCTACAACTTACACTTTCTACATTTTAGGACCTGAAGAGATGTATCGCGGAATACAAGCGCATACTTACGGTCTCGCGTACTGACATGGGCATTGCGATACGTTTCGGTCCTTGATTTGTTGTAGCGCTAACATTCGAACGTTTTGTAAATATTATACTGCTACACATGATGGATTAATTATGTGACGAATTACGGCGTTTGCCACTTTATTTACCTAACATTTTTGACATAGTGGCACAATTAATTTGTTGCACTGAACTTGCTAGTGCTTCGAGTACTACAGACTTATCTGCATGACTGGGAGGTACCTGCTATAGCACCAATGGCATAATCCTCACCCTTAACTTCTCTGATAAAGTCAAGAAGAGCAAGAACAAGGGCAAGAAGCTAATTGAAAAGTATAAGAAAAGTGGGGCTACATCAATTGAACCGTTTGGGCTGATTGTAGCGCTGTACAATTTCTTAATGCGTTTAGGAACTGTGTAGCGCAAGCGACTAGCTAATTAATGTAAATTCGGCTTTGATATCCCCGCCCAAAACCAGGCTGTAACGGGGTGAGCCGTTTACATAATATTGGCATTGATAAAAAGTGCCAAGAAAAATATTACTATAACTAATAATATTTGACAATATTACCTTTTCCTAAAAATATTGTCCCTGTATCTCCTTGAAGTTGGGAGATGCCCTCTAACTGGTTGATATAGGCCGTTATATCAATCAACGCGCTGACCAATGACCGATGGACGCGGGCAATGAGTGAAGGCAACTTGTAACATACATATTGTAGTTTAATATAGTTAAGGAAAGGTTAAACACAGATTAGTTTTATTGGATAAGGTAGCTATATTAAATACAGTTCCCATTTTCTTCACAGCCCCTTCAATAAGACTTCCTTTGTCATGTGTACGTGAAGTTCTGAGGCACCTGCTTTCACTTAAAGTAGTGAAGGTAAATCATGCTCTCAGAGTGTAATCAGAGGGTGCCCCATTAATCCTGGTAGCGATTCGTGGTCCGTTCAACGACCACCGTACCATCCGCTATGTAGCCAACGAATGAAGAACGTCATCACGCAACGCGTGATGACTTCCGCCATTTGGGTGATCTCGAATGGAATGCGATTCAACGTATGTATGAAACCATTGGCAATCCTGCCGTTGGTGCCGTCTTGCTTTCTTGTAGCGGAGACGAACAACATGCAACCATCGCCAAGTTCATACAACATGAACTTGAAAAACTCGTTAAGAAACTCACCTTGCTACAGGAGCAAGGTGCTCAGCAGGTAGACTTGTTGACAGAACATGGCGCTCAACAAGCTGACTTGTTGATGCATCAGGGCGCTTAAAAGACTGAGCTGTTGAGACAGCAGCAGGCTAAGGTTTCTGCTGCCAGTTCGTCGCATCTACGTCCACCCGAGAATTTGAAGATAGATGTCTCCTAGTACAAGGCAGTCGAAAGCGACTCCTTGTTGAGACGGTTCGTCGAACTCGACGATGCGATTAAGGTCAACTTCGCAATGGCAAACTTGCCAAAGCTTGGGCCTTAGTGCTTAAGCTGCATAACCCATGAGTTTTCTGTAACGGGGCTAGAACTTACCGTAGATGCACGGAGGAGAGAACTGCCCGATGGAAAAATTCTACAATCTGATTCGTCAGTGGTATGTGCCGACCAAGCATGCTGGGATGCTCCCGCCGAAAGCGGAGGAAATGTTAAATAGGTAGCTCGCCAGGTTGGAATCTGGTACGAGCCGAGCGTTCTAGGCTCTGCATTTATGCATACGTTGAAGGCAGAAGGACAGATCAAGATGGTAATACACGGATCGAGCCGATCATCAATACATGTGATTTGGACCCTATGCATTCAATAGCGAGTTTGGGGAAAGTTGATGAATTTGCTCGATCGCCTACTAAGATAAAGGTCGACCTAGCGCCAGGAGAATGACGGGGGAATTGGAAATATCATACCCCAGGAAAGTGGTTCAAGGCCAAGGCAGTGGGCAAGATCAACAATGAGAAGGCTACTATGCTATTCGATACTGGAGCCGAAGTCTCGATCGTCTACACCTCCCTTTTGCTCGTAAGGTAGGATGTGTCATCGACGAGAGCCAAAGGCAAAAATGTATTGGAATTGGTGAGAACACGTATATGACGGAAGGACGTACCAAGATCAAGATCACATTAAATGGATCACTGGTATATTATTTTGACGCCTGGGTGGGCGATCAAGTTGGTCAAGGAGCGATCATGGGCATGGAATTTATGGTCCCAGCTGGAATTCGCTTGGATTTGGCAGATGGAACTCTTTGTTTACCAGATGAAGTCAGAATTCACTTGGCTGGGCGAAGACCGCCGTATCGATCGAACATGCAGCCGATCACGATTAATGATCAGCATGTGGTGATTCCAGTAGGCGGATCAACAGAAATGAAGATTGGTAGTGGTGCCCCGAAAGCTTAGCTTTGGGTGAGAAGAGATCAAAAATGGATACCGACTGTGACTACCAGACTGGGCCGGATTAAATATTTTCAGCTGACCAATCTAGTGGATCGAGAAGTAATTGTAAATCACGGATCCTTGTTAGGTTGGTGGACGACTATAGATATGGTACCCCGATCACTGGATATGTTTCGGTTGGATCGCGATGTTATAATGAGTGGCAGACTCTGGCCTATGAAGCAACCACAGATCGGAAGGAATAGTTCCCGAAAGAGCAGACAGGACCGTTGGTTGTTCACCCGTCTTATCCTACACCAGCTAAGATATTAACCCGCCCAAGAAAAGAAGAGATCGAGAAGGTCACGAGCACTGACGAGATTGCGCCGCAAACTTGCGAAGTAACGATCAAGGACGGTGAAACTCAAAGTCAAATCGATGACCAAGATCACTTGCATAGGGAAGATAATTGTTCAGCAGAAGTGCCTTTTGTGATCAATGCGGTCATAGTCGAGAACATTGTGATTCCCGAAATTGAAGGAACTGATCAGGAACAAGATCGATCGGGTGAGGCGATCGAAGGTCTAAAGACGATTGCGATGAACAAGAAAGATCGAGTAATACCGGTTCAAGAACAGAAAACGTCGGAGAAGGCAACAAAGCCGCCACAGTTGTGATCGATGAAATACCAACAGAAGGTGCATCGCCAAAAGATTCAGTGTATATTCACGAAGGCGGTGAGCTGTTCGCTGAAGACGTGAATCAACACATGGCGATTTTACCAGTTACGCCTACAGTGGAGGTGCTATCGAGGATATTCAAGAAGGCGATCCTGGAATACCGCTGACGGAAGATCAAGAGAGGTTACGACAATTGATCTGGAAGAATCGCCACTTGCTCATCGGGAAAGGCAATGCCCTACCCACCGCGGCGCGTGGAGCTGTTTGTGATATCGATGTTGGAGGAGCGAACCCGATCGCGCAAAGAGTAAGGCCGGTGGCACCCAAGTTTCAAGAAAAATTAGCAATCTGATCAAGGGGTTATTATCTGCCAAGATCATTCGACCATCGACATCGCCATGGGCTTCGCCAATCGTGGTGATTTTTAAGAAAAACGGCGAAGACATCCGATTATGTATCGATTATCGTAGGGTGAACCAGTTGACCCGATTGATGGTATATCCTATGCCACTAATCAGTGAATTTCTGCAAGACATGGATAAAGCTATGTGGTACTGCTCTCTGGATACGGCGAGTGGATTTTGGGTGGTTGAGATGACAAAACGAGCAAGGGAGATTTCTGCATATATCACACCATCTGGATTATATGAATGGTTGCGTATGCCTTTTGGCTTAAAGAATGCTCCTCAGATTTACCAACGATTGATTGACAATGCCTTATATGGGTTTTGAAAATTGGTACAAACCCTGATTCGATCACTACTGAATCATCAAGGCCGATTGATGTATTCACCGACGGTGAACCGTATACCGATCCAAGACCATCAGTGATAGGTCGGCGGTCGTATATCGATGATATATTGATACCTGCCACATTGTGGAACACTCTGTATCACAAAGTGGAACGATTGTTGGATGCATGCAATAGGTGGAATTTATCGATCAGTGTGGCCAAAAGTTTCTGGGGACGTCGTAAAGTGGATTACCTGGGTCATCAGGTCTCGCTCGCAGGTTTGGAAGCTCATCCAAAAGATTTGGGATCGCTTGTAAATATTCCATTCCCTCAAAATTTGCGATCGATGCAATCATTTTTTGAGAAGTCAAAATTACTACAGTCGGTTTATTGAAGACTTTGCGATTTATGCATCGGTGCTGTATGAGCTACGGGAAGCAGATTTTCATGAGATCAGACGTGCTAGTGACGCTCAGATGTCCAGTATTGATGTTAGACCGAAGTGCGATCCACTTTTAAAAGTTGGGGACGATCACGATCTGGATATTAGTACCGGGGACGATCAGGATACCGAGGGCAGGAATCGATGGGAGAATGCCATAATCGCATTTACCTTGTTGAAAGCTAAAATAGCTGCAACGCCGATTTTGAAACATTTTAATCCGGACCGACCGCCTGTAATAGTGGTACATGCCAGCAAATGGGCGATATCGGCTGCATTACTACAAGAACATGACGGAATATATAGGCCTGTTACTTTCTCTAGTCGTTCGTTGAAGCCAAACGAAGTCAACTACGGAATGGTGGAGAAAGAGGTCTTAGCCCTCCTTCGGATACTGGATATTTGCTACACAATGCTCGTGCCACGTGAGATCACTGTACTTACGCGATATTCAACTCTAACTTGGCTGCTACAATCTTCTAGTCTCAACGGAAGATTAGGAAGATGTGCTGCACTCCTTTCAAACTGGACACTGGAAATCCGCCGAAGTGAGAAGGGCGAGGACGAAATATTGGGTACATTGGCTGCGAGTATAATCCCCCCCGTGAGGAAGCAAACGAAGTGTTGATTGCGATCGCTCCACATAAGCAGCCAAGGCAGACGATAAGTATGCCGCCACCTACGGTGGAGGAAAGTGAAAGTCTTTTGGTCGTCAGTTTCGATGGATCGGCCAGGGTAAAGAAGAAAGGCGGAGCATACAGTGCAATCGTATGGAAATTTCCGGAATGGACGATCGTAGCTGTCGCTTCTGAATTCGCTACCGGTCTGACCGTGAATGAAGCAGAATAGAGAGGGTTACTCCTCAGCTTCGACTTATTAGTGGACCAGACTAGGGGACGCGTTATTATTTGCGGCGATTCCAATCTAGTGATCCGACAGATGCGGGGCGAAATTAATTGTAAGGCTCCTGGTTTGCAGTTGTTACGACATAAAGCAATGGAGAAGCTTCGATCGTGGCCGATCCACGAGTTCTTACATATGAAACGAGATTGGAATCAAAGTGCAGATCGATTGGCGAGCACAGCGTTGCAACAAGAAGAGGGTACGATAATTACGTCGGATCAAGACTTGCAAGAGTTGATGCTAGAGAACCGGTTGAATGAAGTGTTGACGCCAAAATGTGTTCATCGGGTCGTAAAAATGGCCGCGATTACCAGATCAGCATATTTGGTGTAGTGATGCTTTAGAATGGTAATATTGTTTTTAAAAATATTCAAGCCAACAGTAAAATTTAATGTTTTTTGTAAATTAAAATTAACTTTATCTATATATCTTTTTTATAATGAAATTTATGTTTTGAGTAATATTTATATTATTTAAATTAATTTTATGATACATTATTTTATAAAAAACTATTCTTTAAGATATTTTAAATAAATATTAAAAAATTGATTAATAATATGTTATTACAAGCTTCTAAATTTTTAGGAGCAGGATTAGGCAACAACCGGAATCCATGCAGGAAGAAATTGTACAGCAAACTCAGATTGAGCGAATAAAACAAGCACAAGAAGAGGAAAGTTGGATCGCTAAGTTGAAAGAGTATCCAATCGGGGACGTAACCCGTTTGGATGAGGCGAGAACCGTTATAGTGAAAAAGATCCTGGTATTTCGTATACGCCGCTTAAAGCTCTATCTTTAAGAATGCGAGAGGCTACCAGCTCAGACGTCACGGGCAATCATTACGACCGTGATGTTGCATCTGAGAGCACGGACGCTTATTCGCAACCTCGAGGAGAATGTCGCTTTTATAACAAACCATTAAGAAGCACTCTGTTAATACCACTGTGTATTATTCCACTTAACGTAGCTGACGCAGCCACGTAAAACATCAAAATATGCAGGCTGCTTGACAGGAAGATTAACAGACGAAAAACGATGAGCTTTTCCTGCTACCTCTTTAGGCATTGTCGCTTTTTTGTTTATATGCTGAAAGTCGGAGATTACCAACAAAATAGTGCGATGAAGTAGGCAGCAGGATTTCATCGGCGACAATACCATGTTTATTCTCGACGTAGTAGCCCACAAATACTTGGCAAACTTCTCTCGCTGCTACAGCTTCGGCTTTTGGAAACAGGCGAAGCGCTTTGCAAGATTCACGATCTGGACAAACTGCGATGTAAATTGGTGGCTCGGTAGCTACAGCATTCTTCACATCGTCTGGGTAAAAAATCTTGTTCATCTCTTTCAGCTGATTGCTGTCAATGCTATGCTGTCCCGCAACAGTAAATTAAAGATACGCTACATTGCCCTTCTTGTTGGATGTAGACTTAAGCTTCACAATGCTGTTAATATATTCGAAAATCTGTCACACGCAGGAAACCAGTACGAGCACTTTTCATCATCTCTCCATTCGGTCAGATGGATCACATAATCGCTTGCCGTTCCAGAGCAGGTCGCACTTTTTTTTCAAACGCACCTGTCCCGCTTTATGATGACGCGGTGCGATTTGTTCTTCCGCGGGTGGTTTACTTTCATTTGGTGAAACATATTCGATTATTAAGAGATCCAATTGGTTGTCGGCAGCCAGGCGATGTAGAAGAATCTCAAAAACGGCTCCAGTAAGTGAATTGTTCCCAGTGTTTTTCGCCCACGTATATATTCGAGATAGTGCATCCGATCGGAGTCTCAATGAGAGACAACGCGCAGCATATTCCGAGTCGATAACTTGTTCCCAACACGACCTGAAGATAAACGGTTTTCACCACTCCTTCGAATAAAGAGGAGATATACCACGTCGGTTTTTCACGAAAGTATGGCGCAAGCGATCGACTTGCGATCCCCCCGTCGAAATGCTAGACTTGTTGTTTAGCAAGTTCGAGACATAGTTTACACTGCTGATCGCATTATCAATTGCCTCGATTATGTCAGTGCATGTAGACAGTGTAAACTCGCACACACTTCCGCCAGAATAGTAGAAACGTTCAATCATGTCCTTACGGTGAAACTTATAAAAAAGTTTACCCACCGAAAAGAGATCCGTTCGTGACCAGCAAGGAAATAGACAGCAGTACGCATCAGTTCGCTCTCCAGAATTCAGATCCACTTGCTGCGACGGTGCCAGCATCTTATCTGTCTGCACACCAGCCGGAATATCTTGGTACTACAATCCATCCAGCAACAGCCATACGTTCAATTTGCCTTGTTGACGGACAAGCTCTTTATATATGTTAATCGCAGTCCGGTCTTCGCATTCCTCCACTGTAAACTGCACGACCCTGCCATCTTCGTAACCCAGATAAACAGACAGTTCTCGTGATCATATTTGCTAAGTCGTCGGTATACCAGCACATCTTTTTGTGCTTGAAAACGAGAAGGAAAGCCATCACGCACAACAGCGTCGACTTGCCAATACCCGGCGAGCCTACCATGATACTCTTCTTTTTTGACAGCGGAGATGACTCTCGAAACCATCCATCCAATAGCAGCGATACAATTTTGTCATCTCTCCTTCGCCAAAACATTTTTCCTGTTTGGGTGCATCCACCCAAGCTGCTCATATATTTCGAGATCAATGGAATCTCGTGCACAGCTTGACCTCTTAACCGTCCAGTGAGATGCACTCTTCAGCGTATTTTTCGGGCTCGTTTAACGCAGTAGTTGTGGAAAGTAGCACGTTCGTTGTAAGCGAAGCAGCATACATGATCGATTCAGGTAGCTTGATCAGTACGTGGATGTAGCCACGCGGTGGGAGAGTTTTTTTAACAAAAATAACCTCAAGGAAGTGATCTGCCTGCAGCTCATTTTCTTCCGCCGTGAGTGCTTCAATATAAGCAGTTTTCTCACCCTTCTTCTGCTTCTTCACGATTTTCAAGCCAGACGAGAGCCACTCGCCGTCCGTTTCCTTTGCCAATAAAAGACGCAGTTGGTCCGCATCAACGTTCTTTAAGGCGCTCGCATTCTTTGCCGTGATTGCGTCTTTTAGGTCCCCCACACACACACTCTTAGTCGTATCAATGTTGACAGGAAACGCACTTCCCTTCACACCAACGATGACGCAAAACAGCTTTACCATTACCAGACGATTCTCGAATGAAGGAAGAGCGGGAATTTCTGTTTGCAAATGAATAAGATTGATTTTATATGACTATACTATGGTCAAGATAAAAAAACCATCGTTCCTTTCTGATGAGCTGACTAGACCCAGTAAAACTTGCCTTAAGTAATACTGCATTAATTAATAACTTGTCTTGTGGACTAAAGTTCAAGTCAAAGATTTTCGATTTCCTTTTAACTAGCCCCGATCCTTTTACTACCGATGAACAGAAAACGACAACATCACTCTAGAAGTTCGACTGGAACGTCATGTGATGAGCTGATGCGCCAGGATGTGACTGAAAGGGACGAGAAAGAAACATTTGTCGTTCTGCGCGAGTAAAAATCTAGCACGACCAACGCATCACCCTCGGACGACGTCCGCGTTGTCGTCCACGTGGGGCGTCCCGGCTCAGCACGGTGACATACCGAAGTATGTCGAAGCGTCGAAGGAGCCTCACCTCGAGATCTTACAGCACATCCCGAGCGGCGTGGAAGTACCAGCGGCGCGCATGCGCGAGCTCGGCGTCACGAGCACAAAGGACCTGGCTTTAGAGCTACGCAGAAGTCTTCATGGTTTCAAACGGGCCGGCCTACTATGGAGTCAGCTGATGCAGGAGCGATTTGTCGAAGGCGGGTACACGCAGTGAATCAGCGACAGCTGCTTATACTACAGGCGATTGGACGCAGAGCTTGTGATTGAAGGAGTCTACGTCGTCGACATACTTGTCACTTGAACGCCTACGGTAGTCGTAAAGCAGTTTTTCGACGTGATGCAGTGCCTATCGATCAAAATCCTCGGTCCAGTTGCGAAGTTCCTCGGGATACGTGTGAACAAGGGGACAAGTGGGAGTTACGATTTGGACCAAGAGGAGGCCATCGTCGAGTTGCTGCGAGATCATGAATTGGAAGTGACGCGAATACCACGCGTTCGCCAATTGAAGCAGACTTGTACGAGGTGCAAGATGCTGACAG